TATATGTATACTATACGCTTCTTTTAAAAAAAAATTTTTTATACGTATATGTATACTATACGCTTTTCCCTTTTTTTGACGTTTTTCATGGTATTAACCTTACGATTATATGCAACACCGTAATCATTATGTATTGATATTGTACGTAATCTTATACGTACGTATACGTATACGTATTAATTTGCACAATATATTACCGTCGTTGATTTGCATAAATTTTTGTTATGTTTTTTTGTTGTTTTTGTGTAACCGTGTTATACTTTGTGAAGCAACTGTACGTACGTACGTACGTAGCAAAAATTTTTTTGGCTGGTATTGGTGTGCAGATAATTAAAGTAGCACCTGACTTAAGCTATGCGTTAATTCTGATCAGGTGGTTACTTCGAATTTATTACTACACCAAATGCAACATCTGCAACATCTATACATATATTAATACAGACAAGACGATAATACACCGAATGTCTATATGTTTAGCAAATTCTGAAATTGGATTTATATATATAAATATAATGCGAAACTTGAACCATAATTTTTACCACGTGTATGAAAATACGGACTACGGATTTTTAATTCCTAGTACGTACGTACGTACATGTATTAATACAAGTATAATTCATTTCACACATTGTGTATCCAAGATTTTCTTGATCGAAATTCGAGATAGAAGTGGAGATCGACAGATGTCACAAACTTGCACAATTGTATCCTTTTTAAGTAAATTATTTATATTATCCGTTAACCCACATTGCATATAACCACACAATTCAGTAAATAAGTATATACACATTTATACGTATACGTATATTATAATATATAGTTTTTTTTATAACACTATGCATTAATAAAACAAAGGTTGATAGAAAGCATACATAAATTATTTGAGAATGGGAAATGAAATGCAAATATGATGATGCAATATAATTGTTCATTCATTATTATTAAAAAGATTTGATTTATTATAAAATTCATAAAATATCCGGATATTATGGGGAATGGGAAAAAGAAGAATAAAATCTATAAGGGAATTAATTGTCTTACACCAACCCATCGTACAAACTTAATGCTTGAACTATTGTAGGATCTTGCTTTGAACCTTCTCTAAATTCATCTATACTGAGTTTACCATCTTGATTCTGATATGAGAATAATGAATAATTCAGTGTAAGTGAATAATAAATGAATAATAAATTAATAACAAAGAAATAACTTTTAAACATACTTTATCCATCAAACTAAATATTTTCTTGACACGTTTCTCTGGTGTATCTTCATCTGGAGGTAGTTTCACCATACTACCGACCATTTTATATATTGCATCTACAATTTTATACATTTCATCGTACGTTATATAACCATCATTGTCTATGTCATAAAGTTGGAACGCCCCTATTCGATCGTAGATAAAATTGTCAATTCTAAGGTTCAATAGGATAACAATTAATATATAATAAAAAAAAAACGTACAATG